GCTGTACCATCCAGGCCGCCAGAGTGAGACAGTTATTAAATAGCATTTCACATAAGGCCATGCATTCTTGAAGAAAATAAAAGTAATCTAGAATATCCTGAAGGCAGGGCATGGTAATGCATGCCTATAATCATAGCTCAGGAGGATCCCAAGTTTTGAGAGCAACCTGCTATACATAAGACCTATCTCCAAAAAAAAAAAAGTAACTTCCTTGAGAAAACTGGGGGATAATGATAAAATCTGACTGAGTGACCTACTATAATTTTCTATATAATCTGAATTCAATCTCCAGTGGGAAGTATGGAATGGCTTCTGGTGTCCTGCATGTAATATTCTGGGGGACCAACCTTTATCAATACTAGGAACTTGTGTCTATCATGAAGGGTTAAATAGTGAGGTGGGGGAGAGGCCTGGTCCTGAACTTGGGGCAGATGTCTCAGACAAGACTGCTGTAAAAAATGGCTAATGGAAGCCAGGCAGCGGGGGGGTGCACACCTTTAGTCCCAGCACTTGGGAGGTCAGAGCCAGGCGGATCTCTGTGAGTTCAAGGCCAGCTTGGTCTACAGATTGAGATCCAGGACAGGCACCAAAACTACAGGGAGGGAGAAACCCTGTCTCGAAAAAAAAAAAAAGAATGGCTAATGGAGCTGTGTATAGTAGCGCATACCTTTAATACCAGCACTCAGTAGGCAGAGGCAGGTGGATCTGTAATTTGAGGACAACCTGGCCTACACAAAGAAACCCTGTGGGAGATGAGAGGGAAAGTTAAGTAAACCGATTCTAATCAATACTCCAGGACCACCCTGCCCTGTCCTGACCCCTGGGGAAACCAGAGGTTAAAAAGGTTCCTGTCTGGTTGTTGCACAGAAATTGGAGGTGTCCTTAGCACTTAGGCCCCCAGAAGCCTTTCCATGCTCTTGTACCTTCATGGAGAGCAGCCATGTAACCTCTGTCAGCAGTAGCTTTACCCTTGGGAGCAACTGCTACCTTAAAAAAATTTGAAGATCTCAGCAAAATACCCATACCTTACTACAGTGTAGTGACCACAACCTGTAGGTACCTGACAGCAGAAAAAAAGGTGTCTCCTACTCTGATTCCCTAGTAGCCCGTCACTTTATATGCTCTACCAGATGGAGCAGTTGTGGGGTCAGAAGTAGCTCTCAGATTGTGATAGGCTGAGTGTGTCTATCTGGGGCCTTGACACTGACAAACTTCCAGTAGCCATCTGGATTGTAGCATTCCTTACTCTATGTCAGCTTACTGTTGAGAGGGGCCCTCACGTATCTCAGGATAGCCTTCAAATTCTGATCCTCCTGCCCCTGCCTTCTATGTGCCGCTGAACCCAGCTCTGGCCCATCTTACTTAGTAATATTTACAGGGTCCCTGAGAAGTACTAGTTGCCTGCTGGGACAGCAGGTCTCTTCTGCGGGCTAGTTACTTACGTCTGTGGCTTTCTCACAGCTGGCATGGCTTTGGAGTTAGTTAATGAGTTCAAAAGCCCTTTCCAAGTGATAACCACTGCTTGGCAGAATGACCACCTCCAGGTTTGTGACAGCTGTTTGAGATGAGAACAACTCCAACATGAAGTTAAATCACCACAAAGGCTCTTTAGGCCTTCCTTTCCTTCCTACCAGAAATGGTGCAATTAGGTCTGTGCTAGTAGTTCATTACCCTGCCCCCAAATAAGTTTGTCTCCAAGCCTGGTCATTCTGCGGTGGTTGTTACTGATAGCATAGCAGCAGCTAGGCATGGTGACATGCTTGTAATCACAGAACTTGGGAGGTAGAGGCAGGACAATTAGGAGTTTAAGGCTGGCCTCAGTTGTTAAGTTTGAGGCCAACCTGGGCTTTAAGAGACAAGGTCTCAAGGGGATGTAGGACATAACATTAAATACCAGATGAAAGTGGAGGGTTGGACTGGGTTGGAGATAGGGCATTTGTTCTCCTGTTCTGCAGCCTGATCCCTCTTCTGATATTTAAGAAAGGAAATGGGGATCTGGGAAAGTGTCTCAGAGTGCTCTTGTAGAGTACCCACATGTGGCTCACAACCATCTGTAACTCCAGTTCCAGGGCATCTGATGTCCTCTTCTGGCTTCCGGAATACCGGGTACGGCTGTGGTAGACATACATGTATATGCAAGCAAAACACCCATGCAGACAAAAGTGAATCTTTAAAGGGTGAAATGAAAAGCTCCCAGCCAGGTGGTGGTGGCGCACGCCTTTAATCCCAGCACTCGGGAGGCAGAGGCAGGTGGATCTCTGTGAGTTCGAGGCCAGCCTGGACTACCAAGTGAGTTCCAGGAAAGGCTCCAAAGCTACACAGAGAAACCCTGTCTCGAAAAACAAAAGAAAAGAAAAGCTCCCATATTCAGATGAATATAGTTTTTAAAAGGAAAAACCAAGATTTCAGTGTGTTCAGTGGTTTATACCAATTTAAAGTCAAACTGGTGATCTCTATCCAGAACAAACTATGCCTGGTCCATTACATTGGGGGCAGTGACAGTAGCCTCCTGGGGAAGCCAGTGTCCTCTATTCCGTACATAAGGATGCATGCAGCAGTCATGGCAGTGGTCTTTGTGGCTTGGCTTTGGAGGCAAATTACCAAAATCCAGTAGGAAACAGGCATGTGGAAGCCATTGCCATACAAAACATCTCAAATGGTACATGATGGGAGCTGTGGCTAGTGGTTGTTTCCTTGTGTAGTTCTTATTCCTTTAGCTTCCTCTCAGCCTTCATACTCACACACACCATTGATTTGATGCTAAACCTTGCTCTTCTCACCACAGACCACTCCCTGAATGAGTTTCCCCCCCCCCCCCCATTCAATTTATACACATTGCCTAATTACTCTGTTCTCAGTGCTAGGGAGGATCATAATGTCAACAGTTTTTTTTTTTGTTTCTTTTTTTAAATTCCAAGTTGGTGCTAGGTAAAGAGCTCATTGACAGCACTTTCCTTGTGTTCACAAGGTCCTGGGTTCAATTCCAAACAACACACACAATTAAACTAACTGGTGGCAGAATTTGTCTCCAGGGAGGGGAGAATTTAGTTAAGGAATGAGATATTTCCCATTTTGTACCATATATTTGTTTTACTGATAAAATTTAAAAGGATAAAGTATATTAAAAATGGGAAACAAGCTCGGGTAGATAGAGGGATTTGATTGGTTAGTTGGTTCTAGACAGGGATCAAGCATGAGCTATCATTACCAACAAATAAATTATTTTGTGGTACTAGGAATTGAGTGAGCCTAAAGTCTGTTAGACAGGTGCTCTCCCTAATCCTTAGTGTTTACCATGAGTGAGAAAAGACTCTATTGTGACCATGCCCTAGACATGAAAGACCTTGCCACACAGACTTGCCCTAGAACAAGGAGGTAAGCACCTGCACCAACATCCACTTTGGACAACTACCAGCCAAGAACTGAAGACAGAAGCAGGTATTGGCTCCCTCTTGAGTGGAACTCCAGACTCAAGGAGCTGGGACAGCTGTGGCTGGTTGCTACTCCATAAATGCCAAAATGCCATCTGCAGGCCCTACAGATCCAGGTTCTGATTAGGATCTAAGGGCCTAACTGCTTTAACGGGCTGCGTGAACCTCACAGAGAGCAGGGTGATAGGAAATGGAGCAAAGTTTGCCAGCCTGGAGGGGACTCTAGGCTGAGGAAATAGGCTGCAGCCATAGTTGTGATGGGAGAAAAGGAGTGTTGAACAAGGGCAACCCCACTAGGAGATTCCTGTGAGATTCCTATGATCTTGATCATGTTTGGTATCTGACAGAAATAAGAGCATCAACACCAGAGTCGCCCCATGTCCTTGGACTGAGCTGAACATAACCATTTAAGTCGATAATAAGACATCAAGAAGCCGGGCGGTGGTGGCGCACGCCTTTAATCCCAGCACTCGGGAGGCAGAGCCAGGCGGATCTCTGTGAGTTCGAGGCCACCCTGGTCTCCAAAGCGAGTTCCAGGAAAAGGCGCAAAGCTACACAGAGAAACCCTGTCTCGAAAACCCCCCCAAAAAAAAAAAAAAGACATCAAGAAGTAGGCTCTTTGGAGGCGAGCACTACTAGGTGTCTACATTTTAGCTCTGCCTCCTCTCCTAACAGGTCTCCCAGTAAGCAGTGAACCCGAGTTAGCCGCCACATCCTTTGTGCACCTGGCCTCCTTGACTTCACCAGGAACGTGGGTTTGGGTAGTACAGGTCACCCGGGGAACTGTGCATCCTGGGGAAGTAAGAAAAGACTCAAAGACCGCCCTGGAATTTCAGAAGGCAAGGCGAAGTCCAAGTACTGGGGAGGGTCTCACCCCTTGCCCGAGTAATACGTTGGGTGGACCTAGCTGTGCGAGATCTAAACTAATGGTCTGGCTGCGGACGGATTAGGTCTGATCCGATTAGAGCCTAGGCCGTCGTCGTATTTGCCTCCTTGCCAGGTTCTGTCGACGTTCGCCTTGCTCTTGTGAAGACTCGGAGACCGCCCGGGGAACCTTCCCCTGCTCCAGAACACCGGGTTGGCGCAGAAACCCAAGAGTCGTTGTCCTGGGCCCCCGCTGCTTTCCACACGGGGGGCGCGGGCTTCCGCCCCCTGCGGTCCTTCTGAGCCCCGCCCCGAGCCTGCGGGTGTCTGAGCCCGCGACGTCCCCGCCTCCCTGCGCGCGCGTGGCGGGTGGGTTCCTCGGAGGTCCGCGGCGGAGCGCGCTCAGCACCGGGAGCGCAGGCCGCGCAGGCCGGCCCTGCGGGCTCCCGCCCGTGCACCTGTCGGCTTCCCCCTGCGGCTGTGCTGCCGCCCCTGCGCTCCGTGCGTCCGTCTCTCTCCGCGTCCCGTGCCAGAGGGGTCTGTCTGTCCCCTTGGCGAGGAGGACCGATAGGGGCCGGCGTCAACGCGACGTGCAGCGGGGCGGGCGGAGTGGGGGCGGCGCCGAGCGCGGCAGCGGCAAGCGGCAGCGGCGGCGCGGGAGGCGGGGAGGCGCGGCGCGCGGAGGACAGCGGCTGACGGCGGCATGCGGCGGCTCATGCTGCCCACCGTGGGCTAAGGCGGCCGCAGACGGGCGGCAGGCGCGGCGGCCGGGCAAGCCGAGGGCGCAGCCAAGCCGCGCGCACAGCGGCCGGGGCTCCGCGCAATGGGCCGAGCTGGAGGCGGGGGCCCGAGCCGGGGGCCGCCGCCAGCGCTGCTGCTTCTGGGGGCCACGCTGGTCCTCACCGCTGGGGCCGTGCCGGGTAGGTACCCACCGCGACCGCGACCCCAGCCAGCCCTCGCGCCCCACCCGGTGCGTGCCAGGGTCTCGCTGGCTTCAGGTCCAGGTGGAGTCCCTAAGCCGTGACAAGGGGGCGGGGCACCGTCTGGCCTGCAGCCGGGGACCTGGGCGGGAAAGGGGTGCGGGAAGAGGAGAGGACCTGTAGGGGACACAGGCCAGCGGGGAGCAGCCGATAGCCTGTGCGGAGACAGCAGGGTGGGCTAGGGTGGGGGTGGGGTCTTGAGGTAGGGGCGGGGTCTTGAACGGGGGCGGGGCCTGGGTGAGATTTGTGGGCGGGGTTTGTGGGCGGGGCGGGGTCCCGAAGATGAGGCAAGGATGATCCAGAGTTGGAGGACTACCCTGACCTCCCCTCTCAGACTGCGGGTGCTGTCTGGGGCGGGAAACCATAGGCAAGGTGTATTTCCCCGGCTTAGGAGGTAGACTCAGGGGCGGGCCTTAGAAGTGGGGCGTGGCCTTGGAAACCGAAGGAGTGTCCCAGGGTGGACCCTAGTCTGCTGGATCTCGCTCAGAGCCCTCTCACCCCCACGCGCCACCTTAACACCCTGCCCCTCGCCCTCCCTCCCGCAGCACGCGAAGCAGGCAGCGCAATCGAGGCTGAAGAGCTGGTGAGGAGCGGCCTTGCATGGAAGCCGCGTGCCAATGACACGCGGGAGGAAGCCGGCCTGGCCGCAGCTGGGGAAGATGAGACCTCGTGGACAGCACCCGGCAGTGAGCTGGCTGCGGTGGGCCCTGGGGTCGGGCCAGAGGAGGCACTGGAGGCATCGGCTGCGGTGACTGGCACTGCCTGGCTGGAGGCAGATAGCCCAGGCCTGGGTGGAGTGACTGCAGAGGCTGGCAGTGGTGACGCCCAGACCCTCCCAGCTACGCTCCAGGCTCCTGATGAGGCCCTTGGGTCGTCTACAGTGCCCCCTGCCATTCCTGAGGCTACTGAAGCCAGTGGACCTCCCTCCCCAACTACCCACGATAAGCCTAGCCCAGGCTCTGAACTCCCTAAGGAGAGCCCCTTGGAGGTTTGGCTGAACCTGGGAGGCAGCACACCTGACCCTCAAGGGCCAGAGCCCACTTATCCCCTTCAAGGCACTCTAGAAACCCAACCAGCCTCAGATATAATTGACATCGACTACTTTGAAGGATTGGATAGTGAGGGTCGTGGTGCAGACATGGGCAGCTTCCCAGGGTCACCAGGAGCCTCAGAGAATCACCCTGATACTGAAGGAGAGACCCCTTCCTGGAGCCTGCTTGACTTATATGATGACTTCACCCCCTTTGATGAGTCTGATTTCTACCCTACCACCTCCTTCTATGATGATTTGGAAGAGGAGGAAGAGGAAGAGGAGGATGATAAGGATGCAGTGGGAGGTGGAGACCTGGAAGATGAAAATGACCTTCTCCTGCCCTCTCAAAAGCCTGGTGTGGGCCCTGGAACAGGACAGCCCACCAGTCGGTGGCATGCTGTTCCTCCCCAGCATGCTCTGGGCATGGTCCCTGGCAGCAGCATCTCTCTCAGGCCCCGCCCAGGAGATCCGGGCAGGGACCTGGCCTCAGCTGGAAATGGCACAGAGTGCCGACTTGGCTTTGTCAGGCACAATGGCTCCTGCCGGTCAGTGTGTGACCTCTTCCCAAGTTACTGTCACAATGGCGGCCAGTGCTACCTGGTGGAGAACATAGGGGCGTTCTGCAGGTAAGGGAGTGGCAGGCGTTCGGGGGCTGGTAAAAACAGTGCCTGAGCAATGGGGATGGGCAGATTCAGCAAAGGGGAGGGTTTGAGATTTCCCAGAGGAGGTACATTCGCAGGGTTCCCAAGCATGTGGGGTGCACACCTATATTCTCAACACTGGGGAGGCTGAGGCAGGACAGTTGTGAACTTGAAGCCAACATGGGCTACAAGGTCTCCACCCACCCCCCAAAAAAGGCTTTTTGTGATCTTGCCCTCAGGACAAATTCCTCAAAAGTACTATTTTGTAAATCCTCTAAGCACTGTGTCCTGGGCTCACCCGCTCAACTTTAAAGCAAAATGAAGGGGTTTCTCCAAGGGCTTAGGAAAGCAGCCATTCCAGTAAAGGAAGCAGGGCTGGGACCCTGCTGGGAAGTTAAGATGGCTGTTGAGTGCTGCCGGGCTGTGTGTTTGGCCAGAGAGCCGAGTTTCTCCGAAGGAGGTGTGGGCGTGTAAAGTCAAAGCGTCACCCTAGGACAGCCCCAAGAGCAGCCGCACACAGGTGAAGGCAAGCTGAGTCTTCTCACTCAATCTTGCGTCTGTCCATGATCTTGATTTTGGGTGGTTGCTTTCTCTCATTGGTAATTGCCTTTTGGGGGATAGTAAGTCCATAATGTTTTCCAAGAAAAGAGTTTAGATATCCCTAAGGACATCATCTAAAGCCACCATCCCACACCTCATCAGGAATTTCTCAGTCAATTCACCTCTGGGAATGCCTTCACAGGGAGATATTTACCTCATGAAAACACAGTTCCTTGCAGAAGGATCGCTAAGTCAAGGGTGGTCTGGGCAGTTCTTTAAGAAGTGGAGAAGACTACAGTCTTGTTCTCACTAGACCTCTGAGGAGCATTTCTGTTCTCCACCTATCTCTTTTCATGTATTTGTTTGTATTTGTTTGTTTGTTTATTGATTTGTGTATTTTGAAACAAGGTCTCACTGTATGGCCCTGGAACTCACTTTGTAGACCAGGCTGGCCTGAAACTCATAGAGATCCACCTGCCTCTGTCTTTTAGTGGTGGGTTTTATGTGTACACCACCATGCTCAGCCCTTTCTTGTTTTTAAAAGACAAGGTCTTATGTAGACCAAGCTGGCCTTGAACTCCCTGAGTAGCCAAGGATAGCCTTGAGCTCCTGAACACCCTGCTTCTACTTCCCAAGTGCTAGGCTCACATGCCTGAGCCACACTCAGCTGTGGCTCTCTTAAAGTGTCTCAGTGTTTCTTCTTGTTCCTTTATTCTTAAGCACTTAACTTTTGGCTGTAGCGCCCTGGCATGGAAGCCTGAGTTCTAGTTCTGTCTGATGTCATTCCCTGGATGGTCATGGCACTGGGATCGCACTAGGATCCTCCATATAGGATGTGACTACATGGTGCTAGTTGGAGTTGTTCAGCCATCCACAAGAGTAATTTCTTTGATCAAAGAATTATGGTGATGGAGGAACATAGTAACTAATGACTGTAATTCCAGCATTTATGAGGCAGGGCAAAAGAAACAGGAGTTGAAGGCTAGCCTCAGCTACATAGTGAGTTTGAAGCCACCCTGGGCTAAGTGAGATAGATTCTGACTCAAAAAAGAAAGAAAATTGTGGGATATTAGAAAGAACTTGCTGGTTAAAAACCACCAAAAGTGTAAAAGAGCCTGTGAGTCTCTTCTGTCTTTAGTCTGGGGAGCTGCAGTGATAACTCAGGCTGGGGACAGCAGTCTCTGCAAAGTCATCTTTCATCCTACTGGAGGCCCTGACATTTTTACCTTCAAAGTGAGCTTCCCACCACGGTGTGAAATCTGGAGCTCTGGCTGCCTTTGGAGAGCTGTGGAAGTGCCCAGAATTCCTGGTTCTCTCGGGGAATTCTCCAGTAGGAGAAAGATTGTCCTCCTCACTAGTCTGCCTGGTTGTTTTCCCCAACGGGAGGACTTCTCCACGTGGTCTACACCAGCTCCCCCTTGCTTAGCTTCTCTCCCGAGATCACACTCAGACCTCCCTACCCAGGCTCCTGCTTCAGCACACTCAGGCCTGGCGGCTGCTTGCAAACTGTTTTACATTCCACTCACAGGAGACTGCAGCGTGCCTTTGTCTCGTTACCCTGACCCGCTGCAGGGAGAGGATCTGAGCTATGGCAGAACTTTTCTAGAACACTGGGTGAGAGGACCCCCACATAGAGGGGTCTGCATTCCCTGGCAACCTTAAACAGATCGTCTGTACCTCCCATTGCCGTGAGATCCAGTTGGAAAACAAAAATCCCTCATTCGGCACTTCTCCCCAGCCTGTTCTGGATGTGAGGTAGCCACTTCGCTGGTGCATAATTTCATCTCGGTGCCCCCTTTTCTAGTCTCATTCACCCGAGGTTCATGTCCTCCCTCCTTTGCCTGCCTCTCTATCCTTCCACATCTTTCCTCTTTGAAGCAGCCTGGTTCCCATGGAAACAGCAATGTCATTGGAAGAGTTGGAGCCTGGGAATGTCCCCAAGGGCAGGAGAAAGTCACTCAACAAAAGGAGGAAAACCCACCCTGAGGGATTGATTCTCACTATGCTGGCAGGGTAGTTCTCACAGCCTTAAGCTTTAGGGGCAGAACCTTTGGGGCTGCAGGGGTAAGAAGAGAATATCCACGTCTCTGTGTGTCTGTCAGGTCCTTATTTCTCACTGTCATGTGAACTGGATGGGATAGAGGCTTCCGTGTGCAAGGCAGCTCCCAGTATTTCATCTTGAGTCTTATCCCTCTTTCACCCAGAGCCAGGGCAGGCAGAATTCTGGGGATCCCTGCCAGGCAGAAGTCCAGGGTTCTCTTACCTCCCTGTCACGTAACAGCCGTGTAACTTGGAGATTCTCCTTTGGCTTCTCTGCTTTGCTCACCTCATTTATGTCTAGAACAGCTGTAAGGTTGGGGTGAAGAGTGATGAGATCTGCTCGGACTGGGGTGCTGCAATCCTCCAGTCAGCCCTCAGGGCAGGCTGTTGAGTGCTGACTTCAGAGTAGGGTCCTTGCTGTGGCTAAGATTGCCTGCCCTGTGCCCTGAGCGCCTTTGTGTCCGTCCCTGTAGGTGTAACACCCAGGACTACATCTGGCACAAGGGCATGCGCTGTGAGTCCATCATCACCGACTTCCAGGTGATGTGCGTGGCCATTGGCTCGGCTGCTCTTGTACTGCTCCTGCTGTTCATGATGACTGTCTTCTTTGCCAAGAAGCTCTATCTGCTCAAGACTGAGAATACCAAGCTGCGGAGGACCAAGTAAGTGTGTACCCTGCAGCCTTATCAGCCAGAGACACCCAGCCCCAGCCGAGGCTGTTCCCAGGAGGGTCTTCGGCAACAGTTCTCTAGCTCTTTGGCTCATGCTAAAAGTTCACCAAAGTTTATCCATTCATACATAAAATGTGCCAGATAAAGCCCTGGGACCTGCACACCTACCAGCCAGCCACACTCCAGCATCCAAAACCCAAGAAAGAGTGCTAAAGAGAGGGCTTCCAGCATCCACCATGTCCCCAAGTAAATACATTACTACACTCACTCGGCCCACCCTGCCTGCACCTGCTTCCTTGGTCTTTGATACCCAGTGTTCAGCGAAAGGATTTTGCTCACAAACCAGTGTGGAGTAACTTTAGCCCCTTCAAACCTACTGTCATTTAATATCCACTCCTCCTCCTCCTCCTCCTCAGGGGATGCTGAGGAGAGAGGTGTTATTGCCACACTGCATTGCCTTTTAAAAGCTCACCTTTAGGCTAGGGAGTGATGCTCCGAGCCACTCAAAGCCACTGTTGATCCCTTTCACCTGTAAATAGGGTGTATCCCAGCACTCGGGAAAGGTGGAAGCCAGAGGATCAGAAGTTCAAGGTCATCACCAAAGGGAGGTTGAAGCTGGTCTGAGCTACATGAGACCCTTTTTCAAAAATGAATAAAAAATAAGATAAAGGCTCACCTCTTGAGAGCGTGCCCTACATAACAGTCGATTCTCATCTTTGGAGAGTGTGCACTATCTACAATAGTCCCTTTGGCCATCGTCCACTTTCACCCTTTAGGAGTGATCTACTTTGCTCTTAATAAATTGCACCTATTTGCATACATATGTGCAGGCTTGTGCACACACACACACAGGCTCACACACACAAACAGATGCTGATCAACCCCTGTTCCCAACATAATAAAATTTAGCAGTGACAAGGGGTCCGAGTTAACTCTTGTCTAGTTAAGGACCACACAGGAACAGGATCTCCGTTTGGCTCTCAGCTATACCTGCTGGGCATCTGAGTGTTGACCCACATTTATTATGAAGTCCATATCTTGAACTCTGGAATGTGACCTTATGCACTAGGAAAAAAGTTCTCTGATCACTAAGCAAAGTAAAAAACCTTTCAAAGTGTCACAGGAGTGTCAAAAGGAGAAGACTAGCCCCGGCTTCCTTGGGACCCATTTTATGTGTTTATGTAGCCCTGGCCTCACATCCCTTCATCTCTCCCCCTGCTTATCCTACTGGCCTGGAGATGCCCTCCAGAGAGTGTTATTGAAGGACTTTCCCTGAGTCCTGGGAAAATGACAAAACACCATCTGTTGCTCCTGTGCTGGGTAAAGACATGCAGTGTGCAGACAGCGGCAGCCCTGTGACCTTCCAGCTAACTGCCATGGGGCTGAAAGGGCCCCTCCTCCATTGTCCCTGTGCATTGAGGCAGGGACATAAATCTGTGCATGTGATCACTCCAGAGGGACACAAGCCAGGACCCTGGGCTCCTCATTCCATGGCTCCACCAAAGCAATGGGTGTGTAGGGAGCGGGGATACAAGCCACTCCGGTCCGGGTAGCTGTTGATGGTAGGTGCCTGAGAAGGGGAGTCCCTGCTCTAAGGATGCCATGTGCACTCAGCCCTGCAGATACTGCTGACTTTTATTGATTCTAAGATACATATTTCTCCTCACATATTAGCATCTCTGAAATTGGATTGTGTCTTACAATTGCTGGCATCGTATAATCACTGTTGGCCAGATGGTTGTCTTGATGCAGCTGTAACTGCCTCGCATGTACAAACACGGTCATAGTTGTTCATATCGCTGGCAGTTCCTTGAAGTCCCAGTGTGCTACTTCAAGTAGAAATATCCCCGGGGATAAGAAAGTTTGCACTGGTTTAAGTGGCTGCAGTTTGTTCGCGATGGCATGTCAAGTCCTGTGCGTCTTACTGTTGATGGTGTCATACAGTATTTGACGGTGACGCTGAGGCATCACGGCTACTTTTACAGTTTGCCTCGATCTCCTGACATTTTTCCTTTCTTTCTTCTGTCCTTCCAGCAAATTCCGGACCCCATCTGAACTCCACAACGATAACTTCTCCCTCTCCACCATTGCCGAGGGCTCTCATCCAAATGTAAGGAAACTTTGCGACACTCCCTGTGTCTCCTCCCCCCATGCCCGTGCCTTGGCTCACTATGATAACATTGTCTGTCAGGTAACTGGTCTTCTTCACATCCCCCCTTTTGCATGCCTCTGCCCCTGGCCTGCCTGCCCCCTTGCCCTATCTCAGAGTAGGAAGTCTCCAACAGCTTTGAGGGTCAGTTTAGGGCAACCCAGTGGGCAGGGGAGGTGGGAACGAGCGCTTCCTGGGGCATCACTTCTCTGACAGGCTGAGTTACAGGTACCGGAATCTTCTAGAATGGCTTATGATGTGAAGCTTCACCTGTGCTTTAGAAGTTGATCATTGTCTTTTACCTCGCATTGCTGGGAAATTGCCTGGTGGTCCCTGAAGCAAATGGTGACTGCCCCTCGGGATAGGTAGAGAAGCCTGTTGCTCCTTGGTGCTTTCTGAGGCCCCTAACAGCTAGCAGGCTTATTCACGCTCATTAGGGCCTAGATGAGCACAGAAACTGCTAGAGCCATTAATCTAGGGTAATTCCGATCCCTGTGTAGGCGGGGAGCGGGGGATTGTTTTGTTTTTTGAGACAGACCCTCACTGTGTCACTGACTAGCATTGGAGTCTCCTACTTCCATCTCCCAACTCCTGGGATTGTAAGCACGAGCCACCACCGTGACTGACTTTGGAGTGTGGTTTGGGGGAGCTAGAGTTGAGACAGGGTCTCGTGTAGACCAGGCTGGCCTCCAACTTGCTATGTAGCCTACAATAGGTTTGAACTCCTGATCCTCCTACCTCTGTCTCCTAAATGCTGTGATTACAGGTGTGTATACCACGCCCGGCTTGTAATCCTGTTCGTAGAAGGTTAAGTTCATGATACCAGTTGAAACCCACCAATAAGGTCACATTAGCCCCTGTGGTGAAGATGCTGCCTAACTGACCAGCCTGAGCCGTCCAATACTGGATACCATCAGAGAATTTTAAAGATAAAGTAGGAGCCATCCGAACCAAATTATATCATATCTAGATCCAAGAATTTTGCACATAATGCAGGTTCCATGCTTCCAGATGAGCACTTTGTCAGGATACAGATCCCGGTTACACAGAGGTAGGAACTGTCCAAGACGCTCTGACCTGAGCAATGGCTTTGAAGCAGAGTTGAAAAGCTGTTTGAAGCCGGGCGGTGGTGGCGCACGCCTTTAATCCCAGCACTCGGGAGGCAGAGCCAGGCGGATCTCTGTGAGTTCGAGGCCAGCCTGGGCTACCAAGTGAGTTCCAGGAGAGGCGCAAAGCTACACAGAGAAACCCTGTCTCAAAAAACCAAAAAAAAAAACCAAAAAAAAAAAAAAAAAAAAAAAAAAAAAAAGAAAAGCTGTTTGATTAGACCTGAGGGAGTTGGGGCTCATTGTTCCTCAGTATTCTAGACCGGTTCTGTCTCGAGGCCTCTCCTGTGAGTGAGGAATGTTTCCGCTCTGAAGTGACTGTGCTGACTCACAATGTCATCCCGGCCCTTGTGAGCTGAGGCAGGACAGTTGTTAGGAGTTCAGTTGGCACTGAGACCTTGTCTGGAGGAGAGAGAGATTGAGAGAGAGAGAGAGAGAGAGAGAGAGAGAGAGAGAGAGTCAGTCTGAGGCCAACTTGGACTCCATATTGAGATCCCATCTCAATAAATAAACAAATAACACATAACAAAAGGACAAAAGGATCGGGAGTACGACTTAGTCCGTGAAGTACATTCAGTCAGGGTTTGTGGATCACGAGATGATGGTGTGTGCAGGCTGTCTTGGCTCCTCTGTTGGACCTTCCTCTGTATGATGGGGCAGCAGATGTGACCAATATGTAGTTGCTCCAGCCCAACACTGCAAAAGCCCTCAGGACGTTTTGCTTCTTCTGGCAGCTTCAGTTAATGACTCCTTTCCCTTCTGAAAAGGATGGTGAGGAAGCAGCTCTTCCTAGAGCTGCGTGTCTGCATAAAGCCTGCGCAAAGACCAGTTCTTGGCTGAGCTCTGTGGAGAGGTCAGAGTTGAGAGACCCACCTTTGGGTCTCTCAAACAGAGCAGAGAACAGGGTAGCTGCCTTGGATCTGCCTAAGAAGGAGCTGTGGGCTTGGCTGACACAGCAGTTGGCCGGCCCTCAGGGAATGGCAGGACCAGGTTGTCAAAGTCTCCTGGTTCCTCTTGGATCTTGAAGGTAATTTTCAGCTGAGGAGTTACACCAAAAATCAACCTGTGGCCCTTACATACACATGCACACCGTGTATACATGTGATCGCGTGTGCACGTGCACACACACACACACACACACACACACACACTCACACACCTCATCCTCGCCTGAGCTTGCACCCTGAGCATCTTCTTCTCCTTGCATGTGTATGGGTGCGTGTATATCATCTCACTGTGCAGGTCAAGAGGGTAACAGGAAGTAGTTAGTTCTCTCCTTCTACCCCGTGAGTTCCAGGGATGAAACTCAGTTCATCAGGCTTGGCAGCCATCACCACTACCCACAGAGCCATCTCACAGGCCCAGTTTCATAAATGTTTTTAAAGGGGTTATTTCTTTTGTAGAAGTAGAGTTGGTCATCTTCCTACCGGGCCATAAACTCTGAATGTCACATTCTAAAGACTTCAGAATTTAAGACCTCTGCTGCTTTGGGCACTGTCCTTTCCTGGTGTCTTTGCCAGTGACCCTTTCCTCCCTCCACTCCTCTGAACTGTGCCACAGGCTCAGTGGGTGTTGCTGAGCTGCCCTCCTGAAGACAACCATCAGGGAGGAAGGACCAGGTGCACAGTTTGAATGAAGTCACCTGAAACCCACAGGCAGCCTGCCCCGCCCCCAGCTGCCCTGTGGTTCCTCACCAGTCCAATCAAAGGGGATCCACAGGTCCTCTGAAGATCCGAGAGGGTTCCTGGGAATTCTGTTTGGCCCTTGTCTCTTGCTTATGTCTCGTCTCTCCTGCTTTCCAGACTGTGCTTGCGCTGTGGTGATGCACAGCTGTTGCCTTTTCCCTGAGAGGTTTGTGTCCCGACATGTGGGATCCCGAGCCCACATTACCCCTGGACGTAGAGCGCCCATATGGCTGGGGTGGAGCACTGGGAATAGGGGTCCACAGTGGTTCTCGGGATGCGTGCCAAGTATCTGTCCTGTCCCTCATGGCCAGGTACATCTGCCAAGTCAAAGGCAGATGGCCCATCTGCTGTGGCTTCGGTGACCTTGGGCTTAACAGGATCAGCTCTGGAAGAGACAGTTGGGCTGAAGGGACCCCCACCTTGGTTTAGACACCCCTCCCCTGTTCTCTTTGCAGGAGGTTCATAGCTTGCTCAAGATCCCTGTTTGGGTACCTCTGCTCCATGCTCTTAGGGTCTGCTTCCCCGACCCCGTGGCCCAGAAGGCAGTTTTCTCTGTAGCTCAGACTGGCCTGGATTTGCCATCCTCCTGCCCCAGCCCTCCAAGTAGCTAGGATCACAGGCCCGAATCACCAGGACTGGCTGGCAGTCCCTGAACCCTCGAGGGGTGGCCTCCCCACCTTTGTGACATTAGAGTTCTGTAAGTCACCCGCTGCCCTTTTTCCTGTGGGCCCCAAGAGCAAGTGATGAGGTGAGAGGTTCTCTAGAGGAGCCTGACACCATTCTTAAAGGGGAGAGGGGACTAGAGGCCCCGCTGTGCTTTTCTTGGCTTTTCAGACTATCCTACCTTTTTTGTAGGGGTGGGAATTGGGGGAGGGGTCTCCTGCATTCTGGGCAAGCACTCTATCTACCAACTGAGCTATTTCTCCTGCCCTACCTTGAACTTAGAAAGTGACTAAAGCCAGCCTATGTTGAATACCCAAGGGAGGCCTTACCCCCTATGAGGGGAGGGATGGGGGAGGGAGGGGGAACAGTGGGAAGTGTGTAAAATGAAAAAAAAAACTTTAAATAAGTAAACCTTGAAAGAAAGAAAGAAGGAAAGAAAAGAAAGAAAGAAAGAAAGAAAGAAAGAAAGAAAGAAAGAAAGAAAGAAGGAAAAAGGCTAAAGGAAGAACCTATTATGTGGTGTCACACACCTGTAATTCAAATATTTGGTAAGGCAGAGGCAGACGGATCATGAGCTCAGCCTGGGTTATATAGCAAGCTCAAAGGCAGCCTAGACTGTGTAGTAAGTAAGACCTATGTCAAAAACTAAAAAATAAGTAGACAAGCAAAATAAGAATTCTTTTTAGGAAGCTGAGCATGATGTGATTCTGGAATTTGAAAGGTTAAAAATAAGAATATCAGGAGCTCAAGTTCATCCTTAGCTACACTAAGTTCAAAACCAGTTTGGTACATGAGACCCTGTCTCAAAAACAAACAGGCTGCCAAGATGTCTCAGCAAACAAAGGTACTTGCCACCAAGCCTGATGATCTGAGTTTGATCCCTGGAATCCATAGGGTAGAAAGAGAGAACCAACTCCCACAGTTGTCTTCTGACCTCCCTGTGAACACTGTGGCACCCCCGACACACACACACACACACACACACACACACACACACACACACATAATACTGATAATTAACTTTAAAAGACTTAAACGGGAGCTAGAGAATGCCCGGGAGCTGAGAGCTTGCCACACAGTCACTAGGATTGGAATTCTGAGCCCTGCACCCCCATAGCAAGCTGGGCTGTCCATGCACTCCCACAATCCCAGCTTCAAGGTAGGCAGAGACAGGAGGATGGCTGGGACTTGCTGGCTTCCAGTTTAGCTGAGAAAACAGGAGCCTGGGTTCAGCCCCTGCCTCCAAAGAACAGATGGAGCATGATAAATGAGGACCCTGATATCTTCTCTGTTCACCACAGACATGCAGCTCATGTGTGCATACACTCACACAGACACATACAGATGAGGAGTTTTTAAAAACCAGTCTGAATGAATATTATGAGTGTAATTAAAAAATAAATTTAGGCCGGGCGGTGGTGGCGCACACCTTTAATCCCAGCACTCGGGAGGCAGAGGCAGGCGGATCTCTGTGAGTTCGAGGCCAGCCTGGTCTAGAGAGCGAGTACCAGGAAAGGCGCAAAGCTACACAGAGAAATCCTGTCTCGAAAAACCAAAAAAAATAAAAAATAAATAAATAAATAAATAAATAAATAAATAAATAAATAAATAAATTTTAAAAAATTCAGTGGAAAAAAATGAAGTAAAATAAAAACCAGTCTGGGGGTGATAGTGAATGCTTCTAATTCTAGCACTGAGGAGGCAGAGGCAAAGGTAGGTGGATCTTTGTGAGTTCTAGACCAGTCTGGTTGACAGTGAGTTCCAGGACAGCCAGGACCTCAGTGAGACCCTATCTCAAAACAAAGCAAGAAAACCCGCCAAAAGGTGGTGAAACACACCTTTGATCCCAACACTTTAATCCCAGGGAAACCCTGTCTCCAAAGCCAAACAAACAAATAAGTTAAAAGATATCTAGTGAGATGAGCGTATTCTCACCTTTAAAAAGTATATAAACAGCCGGGCGGTGGTGGCGCACGCCTTTGATCCCAGCACTCGGGAGGCAGAGCCAGGCGGATCTCTGTGAGTTTGAGGCCAGCCTGGGCTACCAAGTGAGTTCCAGGACAGGCGCAAAGCTACGCAGAGAAACCCTGTCTCGAAAAACAAAACAAAACAAAACAAAAAAAGTATATAACCATACATGGGCAGGTGTGAGTTTTTATCCACCACATGCTTGCCTGGTACCCAAGGAGGGCAGAGTGTGTGGGATCCACTGGAAATGGAGTGAGGTGGGTGCTGGGAACTGAACCTGGGTCCTCTGGAAGAAATGGTAAGTACTCTTAACCATTGAACTGCCTCTCCGGCCCCATCTCTACCCTGTCCATTTAATCAACAGAGGCTGCATGCTTACAGTGGCTCTTCGGGGCCCTGGGGAGCTGGTGCTGAGGAGTCCCTGACAGTCACTCCCTCCAGTGGTCCTTATGGGAAGGAGTGGGGCAGGAGTTGCCATGGCAGCCCTCTGAGAGCTCAGAATGTATAGTTAGGTCTATGCAGATGTGGGCTTCCTGGAAACCCTTAATGGGCAAATGCAGCCAAGGTCAGGTGCCTGTTCTGGGCACAGGTGTACCTCCAAAGTGAGTTCTGAACCCTCAGCTTAAATATGGGCCGACACAGAGTGTGGGAGGCCCCTGAGGTGGCTGGGCTTCCTGGGGCTTTCTGAGATAGTGTCTCCAGCAGGTCAGTTCTGACAGTATGAGTCCCAGGCAGTCCTTAACCTCAAGTTGGCTATATGGAGAAGTCATAGGAAACCATAGTCCGGTGTGGGTCCCACTGGGAACATTGACTGGCAAGCCATCTCTTGTGGACGTTGGACCCTTAGCCAAGTACTAAAAGGATCTGTTTCTTGGGCTGGAGAGAAAGTTTAAAGGTAGAGAACACTTGCTGTTCTTATAGAAGACCCAAGTTCAATTCCCTAGAGCCCACATCAGGCAGCTCACAACTGCCATTAACTCCAGTTTCAGAGGAACCTGAGGCCTCTCTGGCTTTTGCAGGCACCTGTACTCAGGTGCACATACCCACACACAGATACATGCACATAGACATAACTAAAAATAATAATAAAATAGATCTTTTCTGGGAAAATCTTTAAAAAAGAAATAGCCAGGTATGGCAGTATATGCCTTTAATCCCAGCACTAGGGAGGTAGAAGCAGTCAGATGTTTGTGAGTTCAAGACTAGCCTGGTCTACATAATGAGTTCCAGGCTAGCAAGAGCTACATAAGACCCTGCCAATAAATAAATAAATAAATTGTAATAAATAAATAGACCAGTTTTTTCCTCATCTCTTTTTCTGAGAAAAGGTGAATGGCCTGAAATAAAATTATTGATGATCTGATTACTTGTATCTGCCTGCCTGTTTGTTTTTGAGACAGAATTCCACATAGTGCAGGCTGGTCTTGAACTTGCTGTGTAGTCAAGGCTAACGCTGAATTCCTGATTCTCCTGCCTCCACCTCCCTAGTGCTGAGGTCACCTGTGAACTTCTATTCCTCACTGACTGCTGCTCAGCATCCCCTCAGGCACCTCTCACTTCTTCCGGTCTAGGGAGTCCCGCCATGGGCTAGGAAGGTCCTTCTACCTGGATCTTCCTTCCCGACAATCCTCCAACTTTCTCCTCTTCTAGGATGACCCCAGCGCTCCCCACAAAATCCAGGAAGCTCTCAAGTCCTGCCTGAAGGAGGAAGAGCCCTTCAACATCCAGAACTCCATGTCCCCCAAACTTGAGGGTGGCAAAGGGGACCAAGAGGACTTGGAGGTGAACTGTCTCCGGAATAACCTAACCTGAAACAGCGAGAAGAGAGGAAAGGGGGAGGGGGAGGGAAGGACCGGTGTCTCCTCTTGTACACAGTTGGCTTCTCGTAACCATTAGTTAAGCTTTTCTTTTTCTGATCTCATGGCATGCTCTGATATGTTTTGTAGGAGGGGAAAACACTTAAAATAAGCAAAGAAACTGAGCAGGATTGCATATATTGGATCGTTTTGTCTGCTGTCTGTACATTGCTTCTGCAGCTGTGATTTCTAAACCTCTGCTGTTATTCAACTGACTTTTTTTTTTGTACTTTGACCCACCTTTTTTTGGAATACCAGTTAAAAAACAAGGTTCTTGAAATAAAACTTTTTAAAAAGCTGTCCACATTCTTAGTGTCATGGTGTCCCCGGCCTGCTCATTGTCAGTTCTCAGTCCCTCCCTCTCTCATGGAAGATGTGTAGCTAAACGTGTGTCTAAAAATGTTTGAAATCGGGCTGGAGAGATTTTCAGAGGCCCAGCGCGCGCGCGCGCGCGCACACACACACACACACACACACACACACACACACATTTAAAAAAAAGCTCACAACCATCTGTAACTCAGGTTCCACAGGAATGGATGGCCTCTTTTGGCCTCTTCCAGCACCAGGCATGTATATGCTACACACACATACATGCAAACACAATACTTATACACATAAAATTTTTTTTAAATTTGATGTTTGAAATCTTAGCAATGGTGACACCTCATCTCAGGCTGTCCTAGTAAACAGGACAGACCATGTCTTGGACAGTAGTGCATTTTCTCACAGTTCTAGGAATAAAGATGTCAAGAGGTCTGGTTTCTATCGTGCCTCTTCCTGGCTTTCCAACAACTGTGTTCTCTGCATCCTCACTGGGCGATCTTGAGGAACATGCATGGGAAGAGTGCGTAGTACAGGACCACTCTCAAAGCCGAACAGCCACTGTCTTAGGGAGTTCAGCTGGGTCCACTAGGAAAAGATCATCCCAACTGGGCTTGTTGACTGTTCACAGCCGGAACAGAGAAGCAGGGAGTGGTCACAGCTGCTTCCTACAGCTTGTTGTAGGCAACTCTGTCCTAACTGCACACAGCCTCAGGGAGGGGCTAGAGTATATATAGGGATGCGAGGGTGGGTGCTCCACCCATGCCAGTGTGTGGGAAATTCAGGAGTCCTGCTAGGCAAAGACTCTGTGAAGCCTTTGTGGGTGAAACATCCACCCTCCAGTGAGTAACCCTTCACCTGTACTCTGTAGGGAAGCCCAATAAACTCATTGGTTTTCCCAAAGTGAACTTTGAAGGAACTGTGCCTTGGTTTGTCTTTGGGGTCTTAGAAGGAGGGATAGTCATTACTTACATCCCCCCACCAAGGAATTTTAGCAACAGAGGGAAATGTCATTCATCTCTTTTGGTTTTGTTTTTTGAGATAGGGTCTCACGTACAAACCTCCTAGGGTTGGCTTTGAACTCCCAATCTTCCCTCCTCTCCCTCCCAAGTTCTGGGATTACAAGAGTGTTTGACCACACACATCTGGCTCCTCCTGTTCTTTTAAAGACACATTCCACTGGAACAGGGCCCTCTCTGAACACAGCATTTAGCCCTAACTAGCTCTTCTAAAGCTTTTTCTCCAACTATCATTACTTTGGAGGTTGGGGATTCAATATAGGAACTTTTTTTTTTAAGTGGGGAGCACAATTTGATACATAATACTCTGTCTTATCTACTGTTAAAGACCAGGTATAGCCAGGCATAGTGACATACTCCTTTAATCCCAGCACTCAGGAGGCAGAAGCAGGTGAATCTCTGAGAGTTCCAGGCCAGCCTGGTCTACATAATGCATTCAAGGATAGCCAGGGATACATAGTGAGACCCTGACTAAAAAAAAAAAAAAATTGGTGGCACATGCCTGTAATGCTAGCACTTAGGAGGTCAAAGGATTTCTGGGCTAGCCTAGGCTATGTAGTGAGACCTTGTCTCCAAAAAACAACAAACTGAACAACAACAACAACAAAATACTCATTCTTTCATAAATAAGGATTAAATGTTGTGAGTGGTATAGAGCTACATGCCATGAATCTTAACGACTAATTAACAAGATCTCAACTTCGAAGTGGAGATCGTGGGTAAAGAACTTACTGCCAGCCGGGCGGTGGTGGCGCACGCCTTTAATCCCAGCACTCGGGAGGCAGAGCCAGGCGGATCTCTGTGAATTCGAGGCCAGCCTGGACTACCAAGTGAGTCCCAGGAAAGGCGCAAAGCTACACAGAGAAACCCTGTCTCGAAAAAGCAAAAAAAAAAAAAAAGAACTTACTGCCAAACATGAAGACCCCAGTTCAGATCCCTGGCACCACGTGAAAAGCCAGGCATGGCAGTGCTTCCATAACCCCAATGCTGGGAGACTGAGAGTCCCAGAGGCAACTGGCCAGGCAGTCTAGCAGAAAACAAGGAGTTCTAGGTTCCCCAAGAGACCCTGTCTTAAAAAATAAGTGAAGAGGAAGACAGCCATTATCTGTCTGGTGAACAGGTGAGTGTGCCCATACACATGTGCACACCACACACGCCGAGTATGAAATAGACACAACACAGTGTGTCTGTAATACAGACGTGTAGGAAAAGTTCAGAAAAGAGATTGAAAGTGGACTTTGAGGGGCCAGTGAGAGGGCTCAGTGGGTAAAGGTGCTTGCTGCCAAGCCAGACCATCTGAGTTTGGTCCTAGAACCTCCATGGTGGAAAGGGAAGCAACTCCTGTGAGTTGTTTGCTGACTTCAACAAGTGCAGACATGCACACACACTCACTATAAATAAACAAAATCAAATAGACTTTGAAGAATAGAAGACATTCTTTGGAGTGGAACAAGAGAAGAGGGCCTCCAAGGCAGAGGGGAGCCACCAAGGAAAGCGTGTGTGTGTGTGTGTGTGTGTGTGTGTGTGTGTGTGTGTGTGTGTGTGTGTGTGTGCGCGCGCGCGCGCGCGTGCATTGTGTGGGAAGGAGAGAGGTTCAGGTGATGGGGCTGAAAAGGGCCTTTGAGGACAGACTGCAAAGACTCAGCCGTCACAGGGCTGAAGCGGTCAGATTTGCTTCCTAAGAAGTTAACTGGAGGCCAGACTAGGCAGGCCTGTAATCCCAGCTACTTAGGAAATGGAAGGGAGGATCACAGGGTCAAGAGCTCCATGGGCTGTTGAGTGAGCTCAAGACCAGCCTAGGCAACTTAGTGAGACCCTCCCCGCCTCAATAAAAGTGAAAGACCTGGAATGCAGCTCAGGGCTAGGCATACACAAGACCCTGGGTTCGATCCCCAGCACTTCAAATCATGAGGACGAGGTGAAGGCCAGCTGAAAAATCAGATGTAACAAATTAGGCACTAAATGGAGATGAGTTTGAGAAAGTGACAGTTTAAATAGACACAGGCTTACTGGCAAGTGGGGGAGTTTTCTAGAACTTTTTACCTGTGTTCAATCTGACTCCAGCTACTGAAAATGTATATCTGTTGGCTAGTTCTGGCTGCTTCTCCTTGGTTCCTATGTCAGAAACCTTTTTAAATTTCCTATTTGCTTTTATTTAATCTTGTTCAGTCTGTTTGTTTTGAGACAGGGTCTCATCTAGCCCAGGCTGGACCGGAAGTCCTGGCACACCTTTAATCCCAGTACTGGGGAGGCAGAGGCAGGCAGATCTCTGCGAGTTTGAGGCTAGCCTGGGCTACAGAGCAAGTTCCAAGACAGCCAGGGTTACACAGAGAAACGTTGTCTCAAAATAAAACAAAAACAAAAATAAGAAAGTACTGGATGTAATCCTAAACACTGCAAGAACTAGGTGTGTTGGTGGGTCCCTGTAACCCCAGCAGGAAGCAGGAGGAAGCAGGAGGCTCAGAAGTGCCATCATACTAAGCTACATAGCTAGCAACATTTGGGCAACATATGGCAGCATGAACTCTTTTCTCACAGTAAACATAAACAAAAAAGTGCTGGGAACATGGTGTGCACGGCCACACCCAGCCTTATTTTTTTGTTTCATGGTGGACATTGTATTTGAAAACTGATTAGAACATCTTGAGACCTAGGAGGGTTCCTTTCTGACTTTGTTTTGTTTTGTTTTGTTTTTTGAGACAGGGTTTCTCTGTGTAGTTTTGGTGCCTGGCTTGGAACTAGCTCTGTAGACCAGGCTGGCCTCAAACTCACAGAGATCCGCCTGCCTCTGCCTCCTGAGTGCTGGAATTAAAGGCGTGCGCCACCACCGCCCAGCCTTTCTGACTTTTTGATTGCTTCTGTGAGGTGCCCGGTGGAGCTGGAATTCTGGGATCACATTAAATCCAGGTGGGTTGCATTGTTTGGTTTGGGTTGGGTTTTGGTTTTTCGAGACAGGGTTTCTCTATGGAGCCCTGGCTGTCCTGGAACTCAGATCTGCCTGCCTCTGCCTCTGCTCCTGCTCCTGCTGAGATTAAAGGTGTGCACTGCCTCCACCGCCTGGCTCTGGTGGCTGCTTTGTTCCTAAACCACTGACACCAATCAGACTAAGCAAGGTTGGTTGCCTTGATAACTCTTTAGGGGCTGTCCTCTGGGGTCACCATCCTAAACAGACAATGTGACCAGCACTCTACTTTTGGTAGATCCTTCATGCAGGCACCGATCCCAACCACCCTGCCTCTTCTGCCAGCCACCTTACAATCTAATGAGGCGGTATCTCCACCTGTCTGGGTTCCTGGATGGCAGCTAGTATCTCTGTAGAACTCTGTTTGCTCTTTGGTATTGTTGGACGTTTGTGTGACTTTTTGTGTGTAGAGGAAGAGTTGGTCCAATTACCTAGTCTCCTATTGACCGGCAACAGAAGTCCTGTGTTCCTAGCTTGAACTCCTGCCCAGTTGAAGTTCCATAAAGTCTGCAGTTTGCTATCGGATAGCACTGCGTATTGTATGAGACAGTTTCCTGACCATGTTTCTTATCTAATTGGGTTGTGGGGGACAGTTAGTGTGGCTTGTATGGTATTTCTGGAATATTCTCTGAACTAGAGGGCCTTCCCTTTGAGGCTAAACACCTCTGGATTCTTTCACAAAGAAACTGGTTGATGAAAGGGAATTATATGTAAAAGAACCTTGTGAATCAAAATCCAGACTTTGTAAGTACTGTGTTTGGCTGTGCTTTTCCCACGACCATCTTAGGAAATGTGTCTCAAAGACCTGGCTGTGTCCTCGGGAGGGCTAGGAAAACCCAGATTGAAGTGGGAGCAGGAAACAGTAGAGGCCTGTTCCGGAGAGTCACCACATGCTGCCAGGAGTCTCTTTGGCAAAGAAGGGACTTAGTGTCAGAGTCGGATGTATTGATTTCTATCTGGCCTTACATTCTTTTGTGCCAGGTTTTTGTGCTGCT